GGAGAACTCATGACTCAGCGGGGCTCTGGGAGTGGCATACTCATATGAGAACCTCAACTGAGGGGAGCACCGTCAACTCAACCATAAGGTCGGTCACATGATGGGAACTCTATGACCCTGTAGTGAGGTGAGCAAAGCCAGTCACAAACATTGAAGCGATTATCAGGGAGGCCACACAAGAGGCCTAATCCATCTAGTATAGTTGCCTTGTGGAGCTCCATAGAGCAGAGGACTCGACTCTCAAAAAGAGAGGGGAACTCCGACACTTATCCTATGAGCAGTGTGCTCATAGATGACCCTTCAGCATGAGGGGAGCATTGCCAAGCTCAACCATATGAGCAGCCTAACAGGGAGATGAAAATGGCCCAACAACCTGATATGCTGCCTAAGGAGCTCTGGGAGAGGAGCTTTTGGGCCCTCAGTTCAAGAGGAGGACTCACATGCTCTGCCTGGGAGCAGCAGGCTCACAGCTAACCCTCCCTCAGTGAGAGGAGCACTGGTAATTGTAAAGTCAGCACACCAAGGGGGCAATAGGAAGCCCTAGAAACCTTGTATGACTGTGCACGATGCCTTAGGAGCGGAGCCCTTGACTCTCAGACCAAAACGAGCACTCACATCTCACTCTGGGAGCAGCAGGCTCATAGGTAACCCTCTGCAGTGAGGGGAGCACTGCCAAGCTCGACCATGAGGGCAGCGTTATTATACAGAGCCCTAAGAGCAGAGTGCTTGATTGTCAAATCAAGAGGTGAACTCACATGCTTAAACTGGGAGCAGCAGGCTCATAGCCCTTTGTATTGAGGGTAGCACTGCCAAATTCAACCAGAAAGGGAAGTCTAACAGGGCGGCAGAAAGAAGGCCTGTCGACCTGATATAACTGCACACAGGGCTCCTTCACACTCTTAAACTCATACATCAGTATAGGGAGAGTGAGGGTCACATACAGCTAGGCCTAAAGGAGCCTACTGAAGAAGTTTGTGGGAGCGGTGCTATAGCATCACCCTTATTTTCAAGGGGAGCAATGCTAGCTCAACCAAAAAACCTGAATGGGACCAAAAGCCATTCATACACCTGATTAGAGCTCCTCAGATTGAGTACTCAATAATAGAACTTCAGAAGGAAGGGAGTACATCACACTCATACCTCAGGGAAAACAGTGCACTCAAAACCACTCCTAAAAGGGGAGGGACTGATTCAACCATAAGGGCAGTGTGACAGGGAGGCCCACAGATGGCCTGACAGCCTTTCAAAACTGCAGAGCAGAATTCAGAGAACAGAGTTACTAAAAACTCAAGCTCAGTGCATGTGCAGAATGGTCATGGGGTAGCTTAAGTCTGCAGGAGCCTCTCAGGGCAAGACGTGAAATAGCTCACTTCCTGAGCATTCTTTCTGAGCCAAAACATTCAGCAAGGCTGTCAGGGAGCAGGACATGGAACATTCCTCAACCACCGTCGTGCTCAACCTTACTGCACCTGACAGGCCTTGACTGCAGCTATGTCTTCTGTCTTCACTCTTCACCTGGGAGAAAACTCTCCCAATCACCACAAAGTCAGAATAACATCTTTGGAGTTCATCATTCTTCAAACCCTGAAGAATTTTTATCTGAGACATCCGGACGCTCGTTCAATGACCAAGGCAATGCAAGTATCATACATTCAACTAAACGAAACAGAGGTTTAGTATAAGCTGTAGACCCCGTTGTAAAACCCCGGAGGTGGTAACTGACACTTTTCATAGCTTCATCCCGTTTCTCTAATGGTTTCATTCATCAAGTCTCATTTGCCCTTCCCCCATGTATGAGTGATTGTGTTTGTTTGACTAGTTTTGTTTTAGTGTTTAGTTAATAAAACTTGTGCGCACAGATTTCTGATTCTGTCACTGCTTGTGGATAATGTCCCTTTTAAGATCTGATCTAGCGACATGCTCTAATGCATTATTACTGTAAGACTGTGGCCACGAAAATATCCTTTCTTAGAGTTGAAATAAAATCACACTAAATGTTTGCTGGACGGACAGATTAGTTGATGGCAATTTAATTCTGCTACAGGTACTACTGGCAGCGGATATAAATAATTGTAATTAATCATAATTAATTGTAATTATTTATATACATTTCCCTTTTAAGCTAATTTGCTACATCGTAATGGAAAGAACAGCGTTCTTACCGGAATGCATGCTTCAAACAAAACAGTCCCTGAAGACTTGATGATGACGTGTTCTATCGGCGCCCTTTTATACTGTGGTCGGCGTCAGTAGTGATGACATAGGCTGTCGCCGGGCAATGCTTTTGTCGTGTTTAGATGTTTACTTCAGGCATTGGTCATGCTGAAGGTGTTCCCCATAGCGACTGCTAGAGGACGTAGTTCGAGTTCCATCGGAAGGGAACTTTAAGCTGTCATGCACTGAATATTGTAGTGTGACTGAAGCTAAATGGACTTAACCTATGCGAAAGCATGGCATAGCATTAATCTGCAGTGCCTCATATGCGCCAATGGTTTGCCGGAGCCACATGTGTCTGTAGACTAGTGCATGTTAATTCTCACTATTTATAGTCCCTAACCAGCTATGTAACTATGAGGAATGAGTACCTCAAAATGTATGTTGGAATGCAGTTTTCCCTGTTGCTCGTGTGCCAGTGATTAGGTTGCCGATCCCGTCTTCAATCCCTGTATTTAATCTGACTGTAATATCAGTATCCTAGGGTCATTCAACAGTCTATATTGTTATCCCATGGTCATTAAAGCTATGAAATAAAAAATTAGTATGTAGCATTTTAAATGAATACATTCCATGCACATGCAGTTTCGACTGCAGCAGCGATGTTACTCAGTCAATATTGCCTATATTCGGCAATGTGCTATATCAAACAGGAATCATCTCACAGAGCGACATGAAGAATTACTGGAGGCTCTCAATTTTTTCACCAGTGGCTTTGTGGGAGTGGTTTTACATCACAAAATATCAGGGATCAACATTTATTGATTATAGGAGGAAAATGCCACACATCAATTTTTCAGCATTGCAGAGAGCAAAAATCATATTCATTACAGAGAGTTAAGATCAATCACCTGACAAGGTCTATGCACGTTAATTTGAATAGTTTGTTTTCCCTCACAGCATAAACAGATATGACGTTTTTGTACTATTGTAATGCAATTGAACTGTAAAATAAATGTAAATGAAAATTGTGACATTTCCTAAAACGTTACAGTAGGAAAATTGATACATGTCTTTTCCTTTCTTTCATTTCCAGTTAAAACCTCAAGCTTTAATATTGGCGGAAAACTTTTTATGCAAAAACAGGTTTATATGTTTTACTGTAAATCAAGTGAAATGCTGCAATCATCTGTCCACAAAAATGTTGGAAATTATGTAAATGTTAAAAATAATACGTAACTGGTGCCAATTGCATTCCCAAAAGCATGTTAAACTCACAGCACATGCGAAGATGGGGTTTGCTGTATTCCCTGTAAACTGATACGCACAAACTGGTCAAAGTGTGCGCTTCTCTTTAAAACATGCAGTGCTACGGGCTATTTAATTAAATCACTGCCTTTTGCTATTTAATGTAAATTAGAAAATGATATACTGATAATATACAAGGTCTCTAGAAAGAGGTTTGGATGAGTGATATTTACGTTCTCTGTGGTCGAGTGAGCAGTCCAGTGGTGATGACTTTTTCCACTGGTTTTGCTGGTTTACAATGCAGTGGCGAAAGTGGTTTACTGATGAGCCTTTCTGCGGCTTTCAACAGTGAATTCAAAATTCAAAAATGTCAACAGTGCTGATCTCCTGGAGCGCCATAGGGTCTTAAAATCTGTAACACATATGAGGCCCTAAAGTAGGTGCAGAAGGTCCTTAGTCTGGAACAGGCAGAAGAATGTACCTTTAAGTGAAGGCTTGCTTGCAGGACCTTGGCCTTGTTACAAATGTCTGTACGTCTTCTGACACTCTGGGCTAGAGACTCAAGACCAGAGAGGCCAAAGCACTTTTGTCTCTCTGTGACAAAGACACGGAACATAGTGTGTCTGTAAATGTGTTTTTCCTCATATTCTAGAGACTCAGAATGTGAGACAGTGCCACTGCAAGCATGTCATATTTGCCATACCTTACACAGTTGGTGCTCATCTTTTTGCATCTTCAACATAAGATCGGTTTATAAGATTGGCAAATTGAGAGATCACCAGTTATAAGAAGCGATTAACTGCTGATTGTGGTTGGTACCCAAATGATCAGAGCACCCTTATAGTTTACGTCCATTTCCAAACGTAGCTATGAATGGATGTGAATGGATCTCTCTCTTTGTTTCACCTATTGCTGCTGCATCCGGAGGTCCCAAGGAATGTTTATGGAAGTCACAGGCCAAAACCTTAGCAATCAGTCTCTAGATGGGTGAAGGGCAGAAACTGCATGGACTAATGAGAAGTCCTTCCTGGGCTTGGTTCTAAAGCTGTAGGTCGGAGGTGTCTGGTTGTTGTTTCTTTATTGGATAACATTGGACATTTGTTTGTTTTAGTCCACCTTCATGTAATTTATTAATAAAGTATATAGTCGGTTGGACAGCACGTATCAGAGTGAACAACAGCACTGTGTTCATTTACATGTGTGCATATTTTAATTAATGTGTTTTCAGAGAGGCTCGTACGTCACAGTACATGCTGCCTCTTACAAACTTTGCACATCTCTGCAAGTGCTGTGAGTGGACAGAAGACAGAAGTTTTTACCAATATTCCGCCAATATCAATATAAAACAGATTTGAAGATAAAACAGATCTGTTTACTTTGCAGGTCATGTGACCATTAAGTGTCATCAGAGAACTGTGAACATGCAAAAGTGCTGTTAAATTGTTTAAATATTAACCTAAAACCTCAAGGGGTACTTCAAGTAAATAGATTACATCTAAGAGGTTCAGCTGACAAAAAAAGTTTGTCAACCTCTGGATTACTGAAATGACTTAGTTGAAGCTCTACTTTTCATTCGTTGATACATTTCTTTCTCTCAGGTTCTGGAGAAACAGCTAAAGGAAGTGAATGAAATCATCAGGAAAGATGAGCGAGTGTCTTCTAATCCAGTGATGAAGTTGGCATTTGGGAAACCAGAGCTTTTCCTGCGCTCTTTGCCCCAGAACTCCCTTATCCATAATTCATCCATCTGGAGCTGCAGGAGGAAGATCTCGGCGTTGAGTCTGGCCCACATTGTGGAACAGAACAATGGTCAGGACACTTTATGTATACTCAGGAGGTTCCTTCAAAGGGTAAGATATTAGTGGCGGGTTTATCTGAAGTTATTTCACTATAATAAAGCAGCATGGGGAAAAAATAAAGGTAAACAGGTGTAGAGGAATCGAAGAACAACAGCAGAAAAGTGACTTTGTAATCCTAATTTATGTCCAAAAGAAAGTTTCCTAAAGAGTGTACAGATTTGTAACAGTTGAATAAACAAGATTATATTCACAGAAAAAGTTGAGTCAAATCATCTTTTGAGAGATTAATAGTCATTTTTTTGTTTGTAGTTTATTTACATCATATTGCACAGTAATCAAAACATAAATAATGCCATAGCTGCTTTGTTCTCCCTTACTCCTATAAAAGTGTAAATGATCATAAATTCTTCTCATTTTATCATGCTGATGCATCTTTGCCGCCATGGTAACCAGTTGCCTGTGTTACATTTGGAGTTATCTGCAGTTCAGGGGAGGGTTTTTTTATATGACTCTACCATCATGGTTTGCTTGTTGTGGATTGTTTGTTAAATGTAACAAATAATTGTGTAACTGATCTAACCATTACACTGTTCATTTCAGGAAGCAGAGTTACGGCTAGTGAAGTTCCTTCCTGACATCTTGGTTCTCCAGAAGGATTTGGTAAAGAAGTTCCAGAACGTGACAGACCTAACCTCCAAAACCATAGGAGAGTTTCTGGATAGCCATAAAGAAGGTACTGGACAACTGGTCATAGAGAATGAAGAAATCATTTGCCATGGCTAAATGTTGTCTTGGTGGAGATTCAGTTTTCTGCAGAGTTCACTCCAGCCCTAATCAAACACACATGAACAAAATAATCAAGGTCAAAATCAGGAGTTTGATCAGGCTGGAGATTGATCTCTGCAAGAAAGTGAATCTAAATGGGCAGCCTTGTCCAGCCCTATCTTAGGGTCAGTATGAGGATGTTCATGATTGATTGATGATACATTAATTTTTGTTAATAATTTTGGCAAGCTGGTTTGTGGTTAATTTACCCATTTTAGTGCGAATGTCTTCAGCAATCCTGCAAGCATATGGCATTTCTCTATAAATAATTATTATTTTCACTGTAAACCCAGTAATAGTGTCATATTTTCAACCAACAGCTTCACTAGCTTGGTATAAAAAGTGCATAAACATCTTCTTGTCAACATGGAACCAACTCAGGGTATCTCTGGCCACCACAGGTAAACCAACCCCCTACATCAGGGGTGCCCAAACTCGGTCCTGGAGGGCCGGTGTCCTGCAGAGTTTAGCTCCAACCCCAATTAGACACACCTGAACCAGCTAATCAAGCTCTTTCTAGGCATACTAGGAACTTCCTGGCAGGTGTGTTGAGGCAAGTTGGAGCTAAACTCTGCTGGACATCGGCCCTTCAGGACCGAGTTTGGGCACCCCTACCCTACATACTAACCCTTTTTTTTGACCACTGTTAAATCATTTCTTCGGCAGATGAACAATGTTTATTGTTTTCTGTTGATGAATTAATATTTTTCTGTTAGGAGAGATAAAGCTGCCGGCTGAGTACACTCAGAAGGATCTGAGTCTGGACGCTGACCTGCAGGTGCTGCTACCACAGAGACGTGGTCTGGGCCTGTGCTCCACTGCCCTTGTCAGCTACCTCATTGCCCTTCATAATGACCTTGTGTACACCATGGAAAAACACACCGGAGAGGAGTCTGGGTAAGGAGTTCAGATGTCTTATGTCATTTGTTGTGTTTTATATAGGAATCATTGCTCATTTAGGGCTATTGTGTGGAGCAAAGCCTTAACTCTTAAGTATGAATCATTATGGCATGACTCACAGTGACACAGTGGATATGAGAGATATCAAATCATGTGGCTTGTTGATAGAATGTCCAGCGATACAAGATGAGAAAAAAAACACCCATAGAGTTACATTTAAAAAGGATTCTGAGTCATTTGTAAATGACTTAGTAGAGGGTTCCTTCAATTTGAGCCAGAAAACAACCATCCAGAATACCTTGGTAATTACACATCGACACACTAAGAACTCAGAACACTGAACCTGTCACGAATCCGGTTCATGAACTTTCCAATTCATTGACTCTCGCACTACACACTGTTGCACATCACCCCGGACTACATTTCCCATCATGCATTGCACTGATTGCACTCAGCACGAATTGCACACACCTGTTTACACTGATTGCACCCAGCTGTTTCATATCACTCCCTCACTATTTAACACTCACTCTGATCCCTTCCCTCTGCCGAGTATTGTTTCAGCATTTATCACTCTCCTAGAGATAGCTACCTTACGGAGCCCTTGTCATTGCCTTAGCCCTAGTCATTTGCCTTAGCCTTAGCCTTAGCCCTAGTCATTAGCCTTAGCCTTAGTCATTTGCCTTAGCCTTAGCCTTAGCCTTCCCGGTTTCTGATCTTCGCCTGGTTCCCTGGATTCACCCCTTTTGTCTTGCCCCTTTTGATTCTGTCTGCCGATCGTCGACCTGTGCTAAACCTAGGACTATCCTTGTGTTTTGCCCACCATATACCTGTTTGCTCTCATCTGACCCATGCCTGCTGTATGACCACGTCTCTGCCTTTGTCTAATAAAGCTCTGCGAATGGATCCGCAACTCTCACGTCTCGTCAGCCCCGTAACAGAACCATTGTCCTGTCAGAGCTGTGACCTGGTGGTTAAAGCTAGCAACTTTTCTGCCATATTTCCCTGTTAACCTTATTTTTCGAGTGGTGGACAAAGTACACAAATCATAATCTATATAGTAATTGAGTAAAAGTACAGATACCCTATTAAAATATTACTCCAGTAAAAGTATTAAGGACTTTCTATTTTACTTGGGTAAAAGTACAAAAGTACTTGATATTTTAATATACTTAAGTATTAAAAGTAAAAAGTAGTGATTGATTACTGCTTGTAAATAGGCAACAGCTCAGTCTGATATTGTTATTAATTATTATGAATTGTCAAGCAGCCTGCACTAGTCAATATGGAGGATTATGCAGCAACTTCATATGTATTGAAGTAAGGAAAATATTTTTATTACCAAAACTTGCCATACACTGAGAACTGCTACTGATAATTTCTGATAAATCAAGTGTGCAAACAAGTAAAAATAACAAAATATACTATATAGTACATAGAGTTGAGAAAAACAAAATATTGTAAAATAACGGATGTTGTGATGGTATATGGAGATTCCCTTGGGATCCTAATAACCTCAATGAGTAAGAGAAAGAGCCAATGAACATTGGCAAGTGGATTTTGCATGCCAAGCCACTCCCCCGTGCTTACTGGTATGTAAGATGGTGGCTGCAACCACTCATTCAGATTTTCGTTAAGAAAAAATTAAGTGCTGTGAGTTCCCCCTGGGCACACTGGTTAAAAGAGCGGACTTTCCTAAAAGATCAGGCACAGTCGTGCAACGTCTTTTTACAGATGTCTGTTTATCTGTGTATCTCCGGGTGCGGTAGTTTCCTGGACCCTCATGATGGCCATTATCACTGATTTTCATGTATAGGCTTAGACCACATTGGATCAGTGCTTATGGGGGGTTATGCATTCATTGCGAGCGCATTCCTCTGACCGAGTTGTGGTTGCGGCGCTCCTATCTTAGGAGTACCCCCTTAGCTGCTACCCGTGCTCGCCCCTCTGCATAGCAGAGGGAGGCGTCGCTTAGCACTCAGGGAAGCCTGAGGGTTACAGTGGGAGCTAATTCGTTGGGCCAGTCCCCACAGACCTGCCACTCCTTATCAACTCATGTTCTGGTCAAACTTCCGAGTGATATCGCTGGTCCATCCCGAGGTGAGCCCAGAATGTCATTCGGGGCTCCCCCCGAGGACCAGATGTCTATCACAGCATAAGAGGGTGGGTTGTCGTCTGATTCCGATGAGCTGCCTTCCTCAGGAGCGGTAGCTCAGCTGGAATGAACATTCCTCCAATGGAGCTTGTGCCCGCAGAACTCTGCCACCTGACCACAGCTGGTCACAAATCCTGTCCAAGGCATGTAAGTTCTCATCTGCCAAAGCCAGGGTATTATTAGGGTATCTGGCCCGTAAGTCTTCTCATAAGATGAAGAAGCGGCCCTGAGATGGCAACCCAGAGTTGAGGGGAGCTGCTCTTCAGGAGGCGAACAATATCAAGCAATATCTCTGCCTCTGATGAAAGGCTGAGTGTCTCGCAAAAGAGTGAATTCCATTCTGCCCAACCACTCACAAGTTTCCTCTCCCTTTGGGTCATCTGTGTCAGAGCCTGACAGTGAGCGACGCTCGGTTTCCTCACTCTCAGACTCGACGTTCTCCTCCGGCAACCAAGAGGGCGTGCTTCAAAGACGCAACGTCTTCTCAAGCTATGACCAATCCTGCATTTGCGAGTCTTGAACAGTTTCTTGCACAGGTTCCCGTTCAAGATGTTGATGCAGAAACACATTCTCAAGTACATTCGTCTGCAGGATTGGTTTGCAGCCATCGGCCTGAAGGACGCATACTTTCACATCTTGATATTATGTCAACATAGACCGTTTCTTTGGTTTGCGTTCAAGGGTCAGGCGTACCAGCACAAGGTCCTCCCCTTTGGGCTGTCCCTGTCTCCCCATGTCTTTACCAAAGTCACGGAGGGTGCCCTTGCCCCATTACGGGAAGTGGGCATCACGATCCTCAGCTATCTCGACAACTGGCTGATCCTAGCACAGTCTTGAGAGCAGTTATGCAGTCCTGGGACCAGGTGCTCCAGCACCTCTCCCAATTGACCTATCGGTAAGCCCCGCCCCCCTTAGTTACTGTTGCAAACTCGGACAAACAAACTGAGTTGTCTTACAATGACAGCTGTCAGTGTGAAAACCTTGGCCCTATATCTTTTTGATTGATTGGACTGTTTCTTTGTTGTGGACTCTGATTTATGGAAATCTGTGCCTTTATAGGACTCGTGGACTGATATTAGCACTTGCCTTTTGGACTCAGTTTACTTATTTACCTTTCAATGTGCTGTTCATTGTGCTGTGGGGTTGAAAAAAGTTTGCTTGAAGTTTATATGTCTAGTAATACATGCATTGATCATTGAGAGTCTTATGTTTTGCACATGCTTTATTGAATTGATGGTTGGTAAGCTGTTTAAAACAAGATTACCCAAAAAAGAACTCTTTGGTAACAATAAGACTTAAAGTAAGATTAGCTAAATTTGTTACACACTTCCGGTGGCTTCACTGCCTGTCGGCAGTTTAGAACGTAATGAGCAATCCAGTCATTATATATAGATCAGTGGCCTGAACTCATTTAGGAGGAAAAACTGCAGTTCCACTGAAATTATTTCAGAGGCTCATGGGGCATATGGCATCTTCAGCCATGGTCACCCCACTCGAATTGCTTCATATGAAACCGCTTCAGCATTGGCAATGCGATGGTCATGGCACTGCGGCTCATACCGGATGATCATCACGCAGCAATGTTCGTTCAGCCCTTGGTCGGATTTTGCCTTTCTATGGGCCGGTGTGCCCTTAGAACAAGTGTCCAGGCATGTTGTTGTCACTACAGATGCTTCCAATATGGGCTGGGGTGCTGTATGCAATGGGCATGCAGCCTTGGGGTCCTGGACAGAACCTTGCCTGCATTGGCACATCAATTTCCTGGAGTTGCTGGTGGTGCTTCTAGCCCTCCACCAGTTTCGCCAAGGTGGAGTTCGCTCCCGTAGCATGTCTCAGATCGCCTGCCATCTCCTCCATTGGAGTCAGACATTACTCAAATCGTTGCAGGCCGTTCACATCCCAGGAGATCTCAATCGTGCAGTCAATGCGCTTTTACAACAGCCCACGCTCCTTGGAGAATAGAGACTCCATCCCCAGACGGTCCAGCTAGACCCAGATAGACCTTTCCGCTTCCCACGAATCCTGCCAGTTGTTTTACTCCCTGACCTAGGTACGGATGCACTGGTACACAGCTGGCCGTGGGTTCTGCGCAAATATGCATTTCTCACAGTGAGCCTGCTTGCACAGACACAAATTCAGTGTATAGATTCAGGGAGGACAAGGAACAGGTTTTGTTGATTGTACCGTACTGGCCCACTCTGGCCTGGTTTGCAGATCTAATGCTCCTCACGATAGCTCTTCCTTGGCAAATTCCCCTGAGGAAGGACCTCCTTTCTTAGGGATGGGGCACAATATGGTACCCATATCCAGATTAATGGGACCTCCACATGTGGATCCTGGATGGGACGTCGAGGACTTCAGTGGCCTTTCTCCATCCGTCGTCGCTACTATCACCCAAGCTAGAGCCCCCTCTATGAGGCAGGCCTACACTCTGAGGTTGATTCTGTTCACTGAGTGGTGTTTTTCTCCTAGAAAAGACCCCCAAAGACGCCAAATCGGCATTGGGCTTTCCTTCCTGCAAGAAGTCTTGGAGCAGAGGCCGTCCCTCACTGGACTGCAGAAGACCCCTTTGTGTCACTCGAGTCAGTCAAGCTCAAGATCCTGTATCTTAAGACAGCTCTCCTAACCATGCTAACTTCCATTAAGAGGGTGGACCTGCAAGTGTTTTTGGTCAATGGAACGGGTCTAGAAAAATTTCGACTGTCACATTATCCTGAGGCCCCCCTGGCCTGGGTATGTGCCCAAGGTTCCCACCACTCCCTTTCGGAACCAGGTGGTGAACTTGCCAGCACTGACACCAGAGGAGGCAGACCCAGCTTTAGCATCGCTGTGTCCCTCCCGTGCTCTGTGCATTTATGTGGACCGCACCCAGTGCTTCAGAATCTCCGAGCAGCTCTTTGTCTGCTTTGGAGGACAGCAGAAGGGGGAGGCTGTCTCCAAGCAGAGGTTGGCTCACTGGATAGTGGACGCCATCGCCTTGGCGTACCAATCGCAAGGTGAGCCGTGCCCCTTCTCGCTTGCTATGCCATTCCCCCTCACCCGGGGATGCAAGTGACTTTTTAGCTCTCCAGTAAGTTCTTCTGGCATCTTCTCAGCAGTCAGACTTGGCGGAGGACTCCGACGCTAGCCCCAGCACTTGTGTTAGCATACCTGGGCCCGGTCAGCCCCTGTGACTCAATGGTGCTCTCTCCCGGTAGAGAACAGTAAGATGGCGGATCGAACACGTCCGCTGGTAAAAACTGTCCAGTCGCTGCAGCTGTAGCAGTCCATCCCTAGAATAGGTAAGACCTACCACAGACATTCTTTCATGTAAACACTGTTCTGTAGGAACAGTCCCTATGGGTATTACCACATTATCTCCCTTAGGGCAGGATGTCGTCTCTGTAGCGACCTTCTTTAAGGCTCATTCCCCAATGTAATGTAATTGGAAGCTATTTTTGAAAAGAGAGCGAGAACACATAGATACTCTCAAAGCAACAGGAATGGCAGTTTCTACCTTCCTACTGGTGTAGCTTGTCCATTTAATCTCTAGTAAGGTACAAAAAGATTATATGCTCCCAGTAGGACATTGGGTAGGTTATGATGTAGTGGTAACATTTGTATGACACGCAGGTCCTGTCAACAATATGCATCACCAAACTGTCATAACTAGTTCAGAGCTGTGGCCCTTTCCATAGGGATCCCTTATGTCATCACAACATACACTGAAGTGACTGACAGAAAGGGAATGACTAGGTTATGTATGTAACCCTCGTTTCCTGATGGAGGGAACGGAGACGTATGTCCCATTATCACAACACTGGTCCACGCACTGAATGCCGGGATGCTTCTTGGCTACTCAGCGTAAACCTAAATGAGTAGTTGCAGCCACCATCTTATATACCTGTAGGGACAGGGGAGTGGCTTGCCATGCAAAATTCACTCGCCATTCAAGTTCAAGACATTGATGCTTGCATATAGAACAGCCACAGGCTCAGCACTCACCTACTTCCACTCACTACTACGAATCTACATCCCCTCCAGAAGTCTGAGATCTGCTAGTGAGCGACGCCTCGTGGTACCATCACAGAGAGGCTCAAAATCACTTTCCAGAACATTCTCGTTCACCGTTCCTGGCTGCTGGAACGATCTTCACACCCCTATCCGGAATGCTGAATCCCTGACAATTTTCAAGCAACAGCTGAAAACTCATCTCTTTTGACACTACTTGAATGAATCCTAAATGTAAAAAAAAAAAAAAAGATGAATCGCTTTGATGTATTCCCCAGTTGTAAGTCACTTTGGATAAAAGCGTTTGCGAAATGAATAAATGTACATGCAAAGTGTCATTTGTTAACATTAGTTAATGTATTAACTAGCATGAACGAACAATGAACAATACATTTATTATTTTTTTGTTAATGTTAATAAAAATACAATTGTTCATTGTTTGTTTATGGTAGTTCATAGAGCAAAATTAATATTAACTAAGATTAATAAATGCTGTACAAGTATTGCTCATTCTTAGTTCATGTTAACTAATGTAGATAACTATTGTTAACTGGTGAACTTTCTTGTAAAATTTTACCATTAAAATTTTACAAGAAAAATTAAAGTACAGATACTTGAAAAATGAACTTTAGTACAGTAACAACAGTACTTAGTTACTGTTCACCTCTGTATTTTTCTATATCTTATTTTTCTCTGTCCTGTTTCCGTCAGTTACACGGTAAGCCCAGCTGACCTGACGGAGATGCATGTGATCCATTATGAGTATGAGCGGGATCTGCTTCCACTGATACTGTCCAACTGCCAGTACAGCATGGAGTGCGGACAGGAAACACTGATGGAGTACGACCTGCCCAATATTCAGCAACAGATCTTCACCCGCTTTCTACAGGGCAAACCTCTCATAACCCTTAATGTATGTCACAGCACCACAAGGGTTGAAAATGCATGTTCAGAGTTAAAACAGATGTTTTTAGGAGTTCTTCAAGGATTATAGAATACTTTTTTAAGGGTAGTTGAGAAATAGGCAGTAAAAATGGCGAAAAAATTTTTTGCAAAAGAAATGCATACATTTATGTAGTGTGAAGTCTGA